TTTCGTTTATACGAATAGCGTATCTCTAACTAATCTTGCTCTTTTATTTCTCTCTTTCTCACCATATATTAAACCTCCAATTAATTCTCTCTCTTTCTAATTAATTTCTCTCCAATTAATTCTCTCTCCATGATATATATATTTCTTCTCTACAAAAATATTAGACGACATGATTCAGAAGGTGATGGATTTTACAAAAGATTTGTTGCAAAATATTATGTTAAAATCAGAAAACTATACGTAAGATAAACATCAGATAAACAAGTCTATAGAAAAAATATACATAAGATAAACAACTCTATAGCAATCGGATCCGTTGCAGAAACTTCACTGCATCCTGATCATTTTTTCATACCTTGACATAATATATACATATATATATATATATATATATATATATATATATATATATACACACAAGATAAATAGAATATAAACATATTTTTGATTATGTAATAACCAACACGAGAACAAAAAGTGTATATATATACATAAAATAAACAGTATATAAACATCTTTGATTCTGCAACAAGCTTGTAACATGAGAACAAAAATTGTATATAAACACCATATAAAACATTTCTCAAAATCCAATATAAATATAACATGACAAAAAATAATAATAATAAAAAAAATCCACCGCCGCCTCTGGTGGCACTACCACCCCGGTGGTCCCCCAACTCCGGCGAGTACCTCATGAAGGTCGGCCTCGGCACTCCTCCCGTCGACATCCTCGCGATCCTCTCGGCGATGGGCTGCTCTTGCGGCGGGTGGACATCCCGTCGACATCACCGCCTCTGGTGGCACCACCACCCCTGCTTGCTCGCGATGGGCTGCTCTTGCGGCGGGTGGCTCGTCGGACATGAAGGGATAAGATAGATGAGGGATAAGATGGATGAGAGAGATGAGAGATGAGCGATAAATATGAGAGAGAAATTTCTTGATTGACGGTTTCATATGGAAAGAATGAAACATATCACTCTTCCCAATAATCATGGAAGAAGATAACCATCATTAAGTAGTAGGTAGTTACTTTTACAAAAATTAAAACTTCTCTTAATTAAATAAAAAAATCGTATTTATGATTAAAATTTAATGATTTCGTATTATTAATATTATTTAACAAAGTAACAGTAAAGTTTGTAATTTTCTCGATTTACATCAACCAACTAACCACTCACAAATATTCCTCTAATTTTATTTTTTTCATCTTTTTCTCATTTCCCAGGCAGAGAATCTTGTCCGAGACGGAAAGAAATCTGATCGACCATAAGCTTCTACAAATTCCAAACTCCCTAATAAAACTATTGTTCTTGAGTAGCTCTATTTGTATCGCCTTCATTGTTATCGACTTGTGTCTTGCGCACGTGACTGTCCTCGAAGGGCAGCACCACAACAGGGGCTGCAGGCACCACATCCCATCTCTCTTTCACAAACTTAATGAATGCCTGCACCATTTCTCTTCTGAACTCCAGCTCCCTCGTGAAGAGATCAAAGATAACAAAGGCGATAATGTATTTGAACGGGATCACAAGCAGAACGGTCGAACCAAATAGTAGGGCCAGAGCTACCTCCGTAGTGACCTGGAAAAAAAAAAAATTAAAGATCATAACAAAATCTACCCCTTATGCAATAAACACATCGTGATGTCGAAAGTGGGATTTTTTTTTTTTACTAACACAAAACACACACCTGAGGGTGCCCGGAAAGTATGACGGAGCGTATCTTGAGAAGGACAACATTCACATTCTGGAGGAACTTTTCTACTTCACGCATGGCCTCTTTCAGGGCAATGATTTTCTGGATGGTGTTGGATGGAGGTTGATCGTATATCGTCACTTTTCCGAAAAACCTCCCGAGCCGCCCTTGTTCTTTCAGACCTTTCAGCAATAACATGCCGGCAGCCAACATCATCAAGCTCACTGGGAATGCATACGATACCAAGTTTCTGATAAAACAGTAACAAACAATTAAGACTTTTTGTTACACTTCAGCTAGGATAAGTGTAATTTTAACCAGTATTAACTAAGTTTCACATCATTTGCCAAGATGTCAAAGAAAATCATGAGCTTCAAATATTTATTTTTGTTTTTTTTCTGTTTTTACAAAAAAAAGCATCATACCGGAAGATAAGTGTATACACAAGTGCAAGAAAAGATGCTGTCACGAGAGGATCCTCCCAGCGCCGAAGTCTTTCGAAATTTCTGGCAGTGAGAGTCAATGGACGTACAAGTTCCTAAAAAGGTAGCAACAACATATATATTTTTTTTTTAATGTTTAATTTAACCGATAATCATTGCGGAAATATGGAATAAGATCGAGCAGGAGATACATAATATGAACCTTGAAAAGGTCAATGTTGCTCGGGATCCCTTCAATCATGGCAGCATCAATTGTGGCCTGCGTCTTCTCAGCAACTCTGTACCTATATCGACACGTCACAGCAGCCCTCTCCACCAAATTCATGTCCCCCACCACAAGATTCTTCCCGAGCACAACTCCCTTTCTCACAGATACACTACTCCTCCAGAACGTGAGGGAGGCACTCGACCCCCACGACCCGGACCTCATCCATTTCCTCAGGTACACACTCCCGTCCACATCATACACATGATTAATATACTCAAGAGACTCAGCCTCCTTCTCCCCAGATCCAGAGAGGCTCCTGATGGCGGGCCCACCCCAGCAGCTGACCGCGAAGGTCT